GATCTTAACTTGTGATTATTTAGGTTCTGCTGTTTAGTAAGTATGTGGAGTTTTTTCAGAAATTCCAGTTTTGCAACTCAGTTCGTCAGTTTTATGGTACACCAGTCTTAAGCTGCGAGGCGCAGCAGAGCCCTCGAAATTTGGAAAATGTCGATTCGGTGAAGAACAGCTACAGATAGATGAGGGAAGCAAATCAATGGTTGTGGAGCCCTCACGATCCGTACATTGTCTGCAGATGCTTCCATGCATGCAGCCCTAGCTTTGCTTTGCCTTTGTCCTTAATCAAGCAATTTCCTGTTATCTGTAGCCAAAAATGTCACTCTTTGTTTTATGCAGCATGCTGAAGTGCAGTCAAGTCTTTACAAAGCTCGTGCCGTGAGATTTGTATTGCTGTTTGTGATTAGTGAAGGATTATAGAAGATTCTGGATCTGTGCTTGATCCAGAAACACAAACTTCTTCCTTTGCTGTCTCCTTTCTGCAGTGTCAAGCGTAAGCAAGGCTTTAGTTCTTAAGGTTTTAATTCGTCGTGTTGTTTCGTAGGGTACATGCTTTTCTGGAGCAGTGGGGTCTCATTAACTACCAAGTGGATCCAGAAAGCCGTCCCATGGCAATGGGACCTCCCCCTACTCCTCACTTCAATGTGCTGGCCGATACGCCCTCCGGACTGATGCCTCTCCATATCCGCACTCCGCAGGTGAGCCCCGCCGGTCTCACTAACGTGTCTTTGCCTTGGCTCCAGCCAGTGCCGTATAACATCTCGGTAGAATGTGTGCGTGATTTGCTGAAGTGTTCCCTTTTTCTGTCTGTCTGGGTTGAGAGTTTCAGGTAGTTGGAATCTCCAAAACAAGTCTGCCAGCATTGTGTGCAAGTGATATCACGTAAAGTCATCTCTGTAGACTCATGTTCAACTTACTTGTTCAGTCTGTGTTCTGTTTAACACTGGTCTGAAAACCTTGAATAACTTTCAATTCCTGCATCTCTCACCTTTCTCTTGCAATGTGTGTTCACAGGTTCCAGCTGCTCAGCAGATGTTGAGTTTTCCTGAGAAAAACAAAGAGAAGCCTACTGATCTGCAGAACTTTGGACTTCGCACAGACATTTACTCCAAAAAGACTTTAGCAAAGGCAAGTATGTTGGGATTTTTTCCCCTGCACCTTCTGTTAAGGTTTCTTCCTCAAGTGTCCTCCACTAGGTGACATTGAGTAACTTATGTTACTTTTACCTCCCTGTTTTAGATTTCTCCATCTCAGTGTAGGATGCTAAGATACCTCACTTACGGTTGTGTTAGAGATCTGATTTTGTAGAAAGAGAGACATGTACCTATCCTAAGCTTGTCAATATTGTCAGTCTCCAGACACTGAACTCTTGTTACGTTATTGCATATTTTACCTGAATGGTTCAGAATCAGCAAACTATCCGATAATTTAATAATCTGAGGTCTTTCAGCAGAGTCTTTAACCGTCCTGTTTTCCAGACTGACAGCACTAGAAAGTTGCTCGATTACAAAAGGTGTCACAAAACCGTTGCAGGGGATGTTTTAGCACTGTCATTGCGATGTATTGTATAGCTCAAGTTTTGAGACACCATTGCAGTGAGGTTGGTGATTCCGTAACCTGTTGCCTAACTCCTCCTGCTGTCTGATACCTGGGTGTGTGCTTGGAGGTATTGCAGGAATACCAGTTTACTATTTCAGCATAGCCTTCAGTCTGGAAGTCCGCAGCGTTCTGCTGATTAGTGCCTCTCCTGGGCTGAGGTGAGGCTAATTCTGTGTAATGGGTTTCTGTAAGTGCAGTGTTCATTGTCTCAGGAGATCGTGAGATAACTATGTAAAAAAAAACCAAACCCAAAACAAAACACAATAGTTCTAGAGATCAGCATTTGTTTAACGAAGCCTGATTGCATATTGCATTTCAAGGAGTGACTTTTTCACTTAGTTTAGGGACGTATAAATATTCACCAGAGTCGTAAATCTTTTACTGGTTCTAGACTCTGGTTCTGTTTACAAACATCTGTAACAATGAACTTGAGCAGATTTATTTGCAGAAGTTGATTTCCCTTCTTGTTTTATGTGTGTGGCAGTTCCTTTTTTGGCTGTTCATACCAGCCTCTGAGAACTGATCAGCTGCTGGATGACTCACTTTGATTAATGTTCTCTGTGGGTTGATGATCTGTTTGAAATGCATCTTGAGATAAGATAGATTTACTTATCCTAAATACCCTTTTTGTTTTGCTGTGGTCTTGCACAGAGATACCCAGTCTAGATAATGTTCTTTCATAAGCAGGTTTTTCATAAGCTGCTTTTGTCTTTAAAGGGGAAGTTTTCACCAAGAGTTTTGTAAGTTTTAGAAAATCTCTGGAGTTAACCATGAGGTATAGATTTGGGAGCAGCAACCCTTGGAGCAAGTGATTGCTAAATTTGCAGATTATCTTGCTGTAATTACTCTGTCTTTTCAGATAGCTCATCTCACTTGTAAAGATTTTTTTTTTTTTACTGAGTTACTTGTAGATGAACTTTTTTTTTGGAGCAGCATGCACCTTACACAGTCCAGTCTGTCTGCCTTGGAAGCAGAGGTTTATTGGGGGCTGAAGTTATGTTGATATAACTCCTGTTCCGTTGAGGAAGGTGCCCCTTAAGCTGAGAGACTTCCAGGTGTGCCTGAATCGAGCAATACAGTCTCCTCAACAGAGCAGCCGCCTCCGGTGGTACGGCAGCCGGGGTTAGATCGTCCGTTGTGTCTGTTGGCTGCCTCTGTCCTTCGGTGTGAACTGTAGAATGCTTTGTGTAAACTGCTCTGCTCTTGGCGTAATTTTACTGGCCAAAGTCAAGCTGACCAGAATGCCATCAGCACTCCTAAGGGTTTTTATTATTTAGGACAATCTGCTTTTCTGTTTGCTGTACGTGCAAGCAGAGATAGCTGGGAGAAAAGGGTACCAAATCACTTTGGCTTGGCGTAAAAGAGGGGCTGCAGGTTCTCCTAGACGTGTTGGGAAGGTGGGATCTGTAAGCCCCAGCCTCCGCGGAGACTGCAGGAATGTACTCGCCTGCGCGCCTTAGCTACGTAAGTAAATCATGTGAACTGAACCACTGTACAAAATAACCAGGGATTGGTTAGCTGTAGTAGGAAGGCTGTGAAAGGTACGTGTTTGAGTGCATTAAATAACAGATTCTTCCCCTTTCCTTCTTAATGTTTTATTCTACAGGTCTTTTTGCACAGAACTTATTTCACTTTTTTCCCCCCCTCTTGTCTTTTGTAGAGTAAAGGTGCGAGTGCTGGAAGAGAATGGACAGAACAAGAGACATTGCTGCTATTAGAAGTAAGTTCATGAGGGCAAAACTGAAAGCTAGGAAACAAAAACATGCAGGATATGACATGCTTTAAAAATCTACATGTAGGTTAGTAAATTTTTCGAAGTGGAGTTAGGTGACAACTGCGTGCTTCTACAGCAACTGGAATTGCAAAGTAGAGTTTACAGTGGGAAGCAATCTCTTGGGACTCGACTGATGTATCTGGAGGAGGGGAGCGGTTGAGAATCTGTATGTACAAGGCTGCCTGTCTGTTGTGGTTATGGCTTTTAAACTGGTAAAAGGTTACAGCTCTCCCTCCAAACGGTATCTCTTAATTTGACTGTCATGGCTACGTGAATGTTACTACTAAAAAGAGATGGCAGTAATACCTGTGTAATAGAGGGGCTTCGTATACTTTAAGGTTCGGTTCTATCTGGTACCTGCAAGCCAGAAATTAAGTATTTAATTCACACAAACTCAAGAACATATCTTGCAGTGCAGAGAGGTCTTTTGATTAAACAGAAGTTACTAACAGTAAGAAATAAATGCCCTTCAAGTAATGGTTTACCTGCCACTAAGATAAATACTTTGAAATTCTGATAATCTTTACAGGTTCCTGGCTATGCCGTAGCATGTTAGGGAAGCAGCTAATTTTTGAAGTTGAAATTGTTAAGGAGTGGTTGAGGCTATTTCCTGGCTGCTGCCACTAAGGAGGATTATTTGGTAGCTCTTTAAGTCCTGTACATCTACTCGTTCTTTTTGCCACGTAGCTGCACTTGATGTATTCTTTAAGCCTTTTCTGGAAGTCTACAAGAAACGTACATGAGATGACTTCAATCAGGTGCTGTAAAAATGAGCTCAGAGAACTGCTAGCGTGCTAGATCAGGTTTTTCCCCTGGATCGCTTAATCTGATGCTCTTGAACCGCATGGTAATTGTCAGGTCCCTGGGAGTTCCCGTCTAGGATGAAAACCGTCACAATGCTGTGTGCTGCACAAGCATGTTCTGCTCTTTCACGCTGGCACCAGGGCAGCATTGTTTCTCATAGCGCTTCGGTAGAAGAATCTTGGTGGGCTGAATTAATTAACGTGCTGCCGCTTCCTGTAAAGAAATTATCATCTACTTAGCTTTCTTTTACAGGAGCATTGATGTAGAGGTTGGGTGGTTGATTTTTTTTTTTTTTTTTCCCCCTTTTATGTAATTCAGGGTTCTGGTATAAGAACTCTAGTTTGGGGGGAGGGTTTTGTGTGTTTGTTTTTACTTGAAGAGAGAGCTTAAAGCAGACTGCAATTGCATGATTGTTCCGGCTTTTTTGTCTTTACATGTGTCAGTAAACCCATTGAAAAGTTAATTTCATAAGGAAAAGCATGGACAATGGATCTTGACAGTGCTTGATGGTGCCGAACAATACTCAACGTCTGCGTGGCTTCTTTTCTGAGCCAGCTAAAGTGCCTAATCAGCAGCATGCTTTGATTCAGCCTTCACAGATACGGAAATGTGTTCACCAAACAGCCAAAATTGTTTGTTTCTTTGTTTGGGGTTTTTTTTCCCCCTTTAATGTTGGGTTGATATGCACTGTTTAGCTGATACTCTTCTATTGGCACATGGAAAAATTTTGCTTATAGGGTGAAAACAGCTACGATGTCTTTCATGGCATTCTTGTATGGAGAAACAAGATTAGTATCTTGATATTCTGGCTTCTTTGCTTATAGTATTAGTATTTAAAATTTATTCTTTTGTATGATTATAGCTTATAGTTATACATAGCAAGGAGTAGCCCAATGAAATAATCCAGATGACATATTCTTCTTTGTCTTTTTTTTTTAAAAAAAAACAAACCCAAACAAAAAAAAACCCTAAGTCTTGAGATTACAATTTTATTTAATGTGAGTTTAAATTAATAATGGTTTTGTTCTTCAATCTTTGTGGATTTAACCTATGAATAAATCAGTAAAGAGTATATCAGTTCAAGCATAAGTAATTCAGCTATAACAAGCCAGCTCGGTCCAATTAAATCCTCAGGGTAGGTTTGGGCAAATATATATGCAGTGAAGTTCCAAAGAATAAATCTTGTCTAAAATAATTATTGTCCTTACGCCTGTTGACTGAATAAATTGGGGGGAGGAAATACCGTTTCCCTCTCACAATCATCTTCTCTGCCACGCTGCTCCTCCGTGTCTCCGCAGAGTACTATTCTTGCATAGTTAAGTGCGTTTTCGGCTATTTATAGTAAGGACGACTATTGTAAGAGCTAGTTTGTCTAGCAGAAGAATAACAAGCAGTGAAGGAGAATGAGCAAAAAAAACCCTGCACGGCCATGAAAAGCAGAGCTGATCTAATGTGCTAGTGTGATTAAAAATGGATAGACAGTGACACATAACTTAGAGCGCAGAGATGAAATTAGGGAAAGTGAAATGAAGGTTGAGCGTTGAATAAATATTACCCCCCGAGTGTGACCCAGTGGACTAAGCCGTTGCTCATTTCTTTAGATGCTTGGGCAAGATCAGGCGGAGGTCAGGAGAGCGGTGCGTGAGCAGCTAGGGACCGTTGATTCCTGCGGTACGGACCAGGCTGTCCAGCGCAGTCTCTCCTCGGTTTGTTCCCAAACCAAATTATTCTTTCCATTGAGCTTCCGTGAGCTTTCCAACCCAAAGCATTCTACGATTCTAGATGACGTGAAGGGTTGTCGGTCTTCGGCGGTTCCGTGGTGTTCTTCCCATCCAGCTAAGCCCTGCTGGAGCCCAGCGTTCCCACCGTCTGGTACCTGCCCAGCTGATCTTGCGCCCCGTGCCTTTAGGGAAGGGAAGGAGCAGGGAACCAGCGGCCTTCTGAAGACATACTGGGGGTTCTTCCCTCCGCCCCACCCAATGTAAGCAGTGAGACCTGCCTGTGAGAGAGAGAAACTTCAAACTTCAGCCGGGTAAAGCTTAAATCGCTTTCAGATCAGGGGGCTAAAAAGCTTTACCCGCTGCAGGTAGCTTGGTCTTTTTTCTCTAATTTGTTCAGTGCCTGGCAGATCTCTAACGCTTCTGGATTTAACTCATCTGTCCTTTTAGTTACTCTGCTTCCAAACCTTTGAAAATGTTACTGAGCTTGCATTTTTTTCCTCAGCTGACCTTCAACACCCATGACATGCCAAAAAGTCCTGTTCAGGCAGATTACTTTGTCCTTGAAGAATTCTCATAGCTTATGTTTTAGCTGCAAAAACACTAAAACACTTTTCCTCCAGAACTGCTGTGAAGAAAACAGTATGTTCAGGAACTCCTGGATTTCTTAAAAAAAATGTTCTAGTGTTGATGAAAAAGACTGGTTTATGTGTAGTCCTGCAGGCAAATGTCTTCTGAATGCACAACCTTCGTATAGATATAGAGTAATTTGTGGAAACGTCCCTTCCCAGATTGGGGAATTCTGAACGCAGGAGGCTACTGGCTCAGTTTGTCTTCTGCTTGTCCCTGGGAACTCTGCTGAAACATCCAGCACGTTAACTTTGTGTGCTTGTGTGCTACTCAGATGCGTCGGATGTATCCTCATCGCGATGTCTGACGGATACGGGCCAGCTCTGAATTCTGCCTTCAGGCTATGAAAGGTTGCGCGTGTGGAAAGTGAAGTCACCCTGAAGGTCGAGATTTCTGGTAGTTCTCAGCCTTTTGGGAAAGACTTTGAGTATTGAAAAGCCATTAACTCCATGTGTTCTTCATATTCACACTTAAATGGACATGCTGCTTATTTAGGGAAGCTCAGTTGTCGTGAGTAGTTAGTTAGGGAGGAGGATGACTTCTGTGGCTTCTGAAATACGTTATGCCTGCAAACGGGTGCCTTAGAGCCCAAGGCAGCCTGCCTGCTGGCCAGCGCGTCAGCTGGACACGTCATCGGCGTCCTCCAAGCAGCCTGCAATACCTGCTTCAAATTCTGTTCTTCCCCTTCCCCCAGCTATCGCTGAAACGCCTGCTCGCTCGCTGTGAAGCGATGCGGAAGTTACCTTTGGTTTTGTTGTAGGGTAAGTATAGTGTAAGTAAAAAGCCGCTTGACTTTTTGGCCAAATATGTTAAACTTAAAAATGAAAATGGGATCTGCAGCTCAAATGAACAGGAAAGTGTTTATGAGCCTTGCTCAGGCCTCTCACTAAATATTTTGAGAAGACTGCTGTTATGGCTGTGAGCTGCAGATCCCATTTTCCTTTTTAAGTTTAACATATTTTGCCTAGATCTCAAATGGCTTTTTACTTTTTCTAGGTGACTGGACCATGAATCATCTCGGTAATGTAGAAGTTAATGGTTCAGGATACTCCAACACTTATTTTATGCTATTCAAATGCTTAAATAACTAAAACAGTTTTCAGGAAAAAACCCACTTGTTAAGGAATAATGTTTTGTTAGGCTGCTACTTCGGGTTTTTACAGTACTGATTTGTTGGGTTTTCAGAAACTAGTGCAGGGACTTCAGTAGCTCATTCTTATTAAACTGTTTTATTAAGACTTTTCTTAAGTAGCTTTAAAAGCGACTGAAATTCTGAATGACAAAATCTTTTTGATTTAATCTGGAAGTTTTTACTTTATCAGGTGGTTTATCTGCATAATAATGATTTGTCAGCCTGAATGCGTAACTAAAATCAGACTGGTTAGCAGTTGCTAGAGAACTGATCTCTTCTGGCTTCATGATACAGAATATATTTTCCTCTTTTCCCCTGGTATATTGGTTTGATGCTCTTTCATTTTCAAAACATCTGTTGGATCTAAAAACTGGACTTCACCATCATAGCTAGTATACACATGTGAAACAAATCCTGTTCCTGCCCCAGGGAGCTTAGTGTGTTAAGACATAAATGAGAGAACACAAGAGTGCCCTCGGGGGAAGTAGTTATGGGAATTAAAAGAATTGGCGAGACTTGGTAGGATAAGCAAACTTATTTCTCTGTAAAGCTTTTCATGTGAAAGCAAAATGGGGGAACACTAAGGATGCAAATATTATTAGTAAATTCCAAATCTTCTGACAATTCTTTTTGATACAGTAACAGCACAAAACTTGTGTGATGATCCCTGCAGCTTAAATTTAACTGATGTCCCCGTGAGATGTTCATATTTCTTATGCAGAATAATTTTGCTACCAGAAAAAATACAATTTTAAACAGTTATCTGATCCTGATATATTGTTGCATCACCAAAATAACTAGTATTGAAAATCTTTTTGCATAAAGTAGGCTTGGTTTTTTTCTCCCAGAGTAGTCAATGTATATACAATGATTTTTTTTTTTCTTTTTTTCCTTTTGCAGGCTCTGGAGATGTACAAAGATGACTGGAACAAAGTCTCCGAGCATGTTGGGAGCCGTACCCAAGATGAGTGCATTCTCCATTTTCTGAGACTTCCGATCGAAGACCCCTATTTGGAGAACTCTGATGCGTCTCTGGGCCCGCTGGCTTACCAGCCCGTACCTTTCAGCCAGTCCGGCAATCCCGTGATGAGTACCGTTGCTTTCCTGGCATCGGTGGTGGATCCCCGCGTGGCATCAGCCGCAGCAAAGGCCGCGTTAGGTATGCGTTTGCCCCAGCAATTTTTTCGCCTTGCCTCTACAACTCTGTTAGACTGCTCTTAAAATTGACTGTTTCTAGAGTTTCTTCAGGGTGGGTACTAAGTTGTAAAACCAAATTTGCATGTATGTAGAGAACGGGTCTACCGATACCCAGTTTTGTGTTCTGTTGTTACTGAAACTGCCAATTTACAGGCAAGTTAGAACAGCTCTTAAATGAGTGTCTAAAGACGGCTTGCATTCCCTTTTGTGCTCACTGACTGTTGGTAGTCTTTGCAGGCACCACCTAGTAGTTGGCATTACGTGACCACTGTCATTAGTTTAACTATGGGTAGATGCACAGTGCTAAACTTTGTTTCCCTGGTTTACATGTGTGAAATCATCTGCCACAGTTATATGTGTCCTCTAAGAAACTTGATGAAATACCTTAATTGGTTTAGTGGTGGACTTGGTAGTGTAGGTTAATGGTTGGACTGGAGGATCTTAAAGGGCTTTTCCAACCTGAACGATTCTATGATTCTATGAAATAATTCCTTTCACTTTTTTCCTTATTTTTCCACATAAAAAACTATTTTACGTAATTGGGAAGAGACTCTTTCCTACCACATTTGAGAGAGAAAATTAACTACCTAATGTGAAAAGAAGGAACTTAAATATTTGAGAATTCATTTTGTCACGAGATTTACCCGCACATTGATCTGAGAGAATCGCAACCTTTAATTTACCTTAAAACCCTCGCAATATAACATTTTCTGTGTAATTTTTAACAGAGGAGTTTTCTCGAGTCAGAGAGGAGGTACCACTGGAGCTTGTTGAAGCTCATGTAAAGAAAGTACAGGAAGCGGCAAGAGCCTCTGGGAAGGTGGATCCAACATACGGATTGGAGAGCAGCTGCATTGCCGGAACGGGTCCAGATGAGCCGGAGAAAATCGGTAGGCTGTCCGTCAAAATGTAGAAGTTTCTGCAGTTGAGGTTCCTTAGGCATTTTCTTCTGACTCAAATAAACCATAAGTTCACCTCCAGTATGAGATGGGAATGGCAGGTAAGGAGAGTGTGAGAGGTCATTCCACTTCTGCTTGCTGCAGGATTATTAACTCTTGACACTGAATTAATGAACTTGGGACCAGCTTTAGTTTTAGAAATTTGTTTTCCGACTCGGACTACGTGGAAATGCCATTGCTTGGGATGCATAGAGTCGAGTGGGCAAAAATACCAGAGCTGAACATTTCATGCCGGTTCTGTGGGTATTAGAGTAGTTGGAGGATGCTGCCTTTCTAGCATTGTAGTTACGATAAAGCAAACTGAGTTTTACTGGCTCTTTGTGCTGCAGCTGAATCTATAATGTTCTATCACAACTTTTGGTAGCCAGTTTTAATGTAGGTCTGGTACTCCGAGTACATTGCCAACCGTGGTGGTAGCAGAAGAGGAGCTTTTTACGGAATGGTGGCTTGGTAGGTGATAATGCCACGGTTCTTGGCTCTGGTTGTTGTACGGAATGGTGGCTTGGTAGGTGATAATGCCACGGTTCTTGGCTCTGGTTGTTGTATGGAATGGTGGCTTGGTAGGTGATAATGCCACGGTTCTTGGCTCTGGTTGTTGTACGGAATGGTGGCTTGGTAGGTGATAATGCCACGGTTCTTGGCTCTGGTTGTTGTACATCACGCTGCCCCGTACTAACAAGCTCTCGTTTTAGAGCGCCGTTTCAGTTGAGCTATTTTCTGTAGTATTCAGCAGATATTCTGGTATTAAGTCTCTTATCTGAAACTTTGACAGGTGCAAATTGTTTATTCATTACTATGGAGAGTAAAAGTGTATCTTGTGGCAGCTCCCTATAAAGTGAAAGCACTTTGTGTAACCCTTTCTGTTTAACTCTATTTTGGCTCTCCTTCAACAGTAAAACGTGTAGACATGGACATTTTACTACGTACCTAATGACTTTCTCACTTTCACCTCTTGAGTTTAGTACAGATCTTCTGGCTTATCTGTAGATCTTTATTTTTCTCTCCAGCATTGTCGGCTGCTGCTTTGTTCAGCTTATCACAAATCATTTTGGTGAATTTAGTGACTAGATACTTAAAGGCATGTATAGCTTTGGGTAAAACTGAACAGAATGGAATCTGGATTGACTGGAAGGTTTGATTTGGGCTGTGCTTGTGCATCTCATAGTTGACCTGCTGTCACCCCATCTAGAGATGTGAGCAAGGTGCCAGATTGTGTGATGGGATCGTAAGGGACCTCTGTGTTCCAGTGCTGTTCAGATATCAACTCCTAGTCATACAGGTGAAGATGCACGTCTGCTATTCATGGTACTTAATGTCCGTTGTAAAACTACACTTCTAAATTAGGTTTAAAAGTACCGCTTAACTCCTGAAGATATTTTTTAAATAGAAGAGAAGTTAACAGATCGCTCAATCCTTCTGTTGCATTTTTCGGTTCTACACGCAGCGGGATGGACTTGATGTGAGGCAGCTCGGTGCTTTGGGAAGATGTGGCGTGCGTGCTGAAAGGGGAGCGCTGGCATCTGGCGTGTCTGCTTCTCCCTGTTCTGCAGTGCTCCGATGCGCAAAACCGACAGCAAGCGTCGGAGCCCTGTTGAAAGGGCAAGGCTTTGGGGTTTATTGTCAAGTCTACTCTAAAACAAAGCCAGGTGTTATTCCATCTGGGCCTAAGTTTAATTTGGTAGTCATTTTAAAATAAACTCGGCTTAAGTTAAATTTTCCTTACTGGGGCTTTGTTTCCTTTTTCCATATTCTCCAAGTACAGGCTTCACTGTAGTATGTTAAGGACTATGTAACATGTATGCTGCTTTGAGTCGTAACTCTTAATCCTGCAGCACGACCGTGGAAGTTTACCATTGCCGCCTCATTGGTGGGATTGCTCGTCTGTAGGTTAGCCCTTTCTCTAGGAGAGTTTGCACGCAAGTTGCAAATAGAGATTTTTGAAGTGCTTGTCGTTTAATATGGGGAGTTGGAGAGCAGATGACCGTAACACGATTATTTCTGAATGAGCTGTGTGGTGAGTTCTATAAGTAATACTGTCCTGTTATAGTTAATGCGATTTGTATTGGGCTGTGACTAATGGAATAAATTAGGACAACAGCAGATGGTTCTCCCTGGGGGAGCTGCTCAGCAAGAGTGAACTGGGTCACTCAGCAATCTGCGGTGCCTTCCCCCTCCAAAAGAGCTTTGCACTGGAGGGCACGGGGGAATCCATAGCTTGCGCTCGCAGAGGTGCGTTTCATGTGTTGAAGTATCGTGTCGTGGTGTGCAACTGCTGAGATGGAGCTCTGTGGTTGCATGGCTAGGCCTGCAGTTTTACAGCTAAATGTCACTATGGAGAACTAAAAGTATCTACTTAGGGTTCCGTGCTATAATTAAAGTTCATCAGTTGTTATATTTTAGAAATAAAATTATATTATAGCTCCGTAATAAATCCAAACCTCTTAATATTGGTGAATTGTAGGCAGTGTGGAATGCAAAAGGGGAAAATATGACTGGAACAGATTGCAGGAGCTTACATTAATATCCAAGAATCTCCTCTTTTAAGTCTTCGTTGTTAGTTTTTTCTAAAAGCTGATGAAGGTTCCTTTTGAATGGATATAGTAAGGCTTCAGCAGAGTTAAGAGGAGACTCTGTGGTTCAGGTGCTGTGGGAAGCATGGGAGGCGCTGCTTTTTGCTTTCCAAGGTGGTGCCCCACTGCAGGCTGCAGAGCATCTTCATCTATCGTGCTCTGCATCTGTTGTAGTAAAAATGAATTGAGGAGAGCAAACAAGGGATCCTAGCTCATTAGGCTAGTGATTAAGCTCCGGAGAAGGGAAATATTCAGTATGCCTGTGGTACTCAGTAGTTTCAATTAAGCCTTCACTGTGTATGTGGGCTTTCTTAATGGCTTTCCAAAGGTGATTAACGACACTGACTGCATATATGTGCACTGAATGAGGCACGAGGCGGTCTCTGAAGTGCCTGTGTCGGAGGCAGTTACTTGTGCATTCTAGGTCTTAGTCTAACAAGTATTTCACTGAAAGTTTCCACTGACACAGGTGCATGGATGCTTCAAGCTGTAGCTCATCTGTGACCGTGAGTGCTGAGGCAATGGTGATCTGATTTACTGTCTCCGTTACAACTGTAACCGATTTAAATGGAAGATTCAATTTAACGTTTTATGGATGATTTTGTATCATTCTCAAATACACATATTAGAAAACTACACGCAAGTATACATACACAGGAGAAGTTGTTTTACTTCATTTTTGGCAGGATCATTTCTCTTGTGGTCTCCAGTGTGTGCTTTAACTCTGAAATAATGCAAGCACTGCTAAAATGAACAGGCTCCGAGTACTTCATTCGCTTTGCGTGTATCCAGGTGCCTGTGAGCTAGTTCTGCACCGCGGGAGGGTTGAGCCCATCAATCGTCTTGTGATGGACTCGCGCGGCTCGCACGAAAGCTGAACTCTGCACCCTTCTTCGTGGAAGCCTGCCTGGTTATCGTCCTGTACGCCTACAAGCTGCGTGAAGCAGAAACAGAGGAAGCTCTGGTGGCTGCGGAGTCTTGACTTACTGTGGAAAATGTAAATTCTGGTTTAGCTAATAGTGTAATTATCATATTCAGACCCCGGGTTTTTCTGTTGCCTCTCAATGAAATATTAATATTCAAGCCTGACTTTTGACAGGTTGTGTGTGTTGTCTTACCGAAAACAAAGGAGACGAGGATGTCTTGAGGGCATCTGTAAACTCTTTGCTGAGCTGAAACTCACGCTAGCGATTCTGTGCATTTATATGTGGGGTTTTGCTTATTGTTCTTCCAATGACAGCGGAGGTTATGTATCAGCTTACGCTGCAAGTGTCTGTTTGCTGGTAATGCAGTAAATTCTTACCGTGGAAATGTTTTATAGTTTTACTTGTTGACCTAAAGTTAATTTAACTTCTCTGTAAAGTCACTGGGCTTCATCAGAAGTCAGTTGTAAGTTCTTCACATGTTAGAAAACAAGGCTTTGTGTTCTTGGAGATAACACGCAAAACAGAACAAGCTTCCATAGAGACAGAAAATATTTGCTGCTTCAGGTTTGAAGAGGGGTGTGGAGAGGCGATGTTTCTTGGTCTGCAAGTGGCTTCTCCCTCTTGAAAGATGTCTTGTGGTGTCTCACAACCATCTGCCTCTTGCTGATTTAAGAAATATTGTTAATTGGATTCCCCGCAGCCTGCAAGGTATGATACTGAATCTGCTGAAGAGGGTTAAAGAGCATCATTGGTGCTGTGTAAAAGGGATTACAGGCTCTTTCTCATTAAAGTTCAGTCTTCCCCTTTTGTAATGGGGCCATGTATGTCCAACGAATCGATTCACGTTTGCATTGTCAGTTATGTATTTTCATTAACTTCATTAGATCATACAGGAAGATCCGTACGGTTGTGTTTGTGTCCAACTGGAAGGCAGGAGTCGTTTCTGTCGTTCTCATGCAGAGAGTCAGAAATGGTTTGGGTTTTTTTCTGATACTTTCAGATTTGAATTAGAGATTAATTTTCACAGGACTCTTAATTGTTTTGAGGTACTTTCAATAGCCTGTAATTTAGAAGCAAAAACCTGCCTTCAACCCAGGTAAACTTATTTAACCCCCAAACTAGTAATTGATAGCTTTCATTTTCTTCTTCCCTTATGCATGTAGTACTCCAGCATGGTCCCCTCGATGGGCACAAGTGCAGAATGGCTTATGCCAGTGGGAGCTGCAGAGGCACAGCGCTGTCACTGCACATAAGGGCTTAGGAGCTAATGCAAGAAAACAGTTTTCAAAAACCATTGACTACAACCTGCCTAAAGTTGTCATCCTGATTTTAAAATAACATTTATTCTTACAGCCAGGACTAGAAAACCTAAGTTAAATCGGGATGTTTGCAGTAATCTTACTGTCACACATACATACTTTCTGACTCCCTTTGTAGCCGAATGTGTCCCTATGTTATATAAAAGAACAGTTCATTTTGGAAAGTGTCCATCAAATGTATTACGACACAAGGGAGCGTCCAAGGGCAGTTTTCCTTACCGTGAGATGCTCTATGTGCGTCCAAGGGCAGTTTTCCTTACCGTGAGATGCTCTATGTGCGTCCAAGGGCAGTTTTCCTTACCGTGAGATGCTCTATGTGCGTCCAAGGGCAGTTTTCCTTACCGTGAGATGCTCTATGTGCTTTTTCCTTTGAGAAAATTTTCTCTAAAGGGTGGGTGGGAAGGAGTTTGTCTTTCTGGGGTATCCTGTTTGCCTTGGAACTTCCTCTGTAGCAGTAGTTGCTTAACAACTCTTAACCTTGGTCTACAGATTGGTCTACGAATTTGCCCAGAGGTGTTGTGGATGCCCCATCGTTGGAAGCGTTCACGGTCAGGTTGGACGGGGCTTTTAGCAACCTGATCTAGCAGAAGATGGCCATGCTAGATCTTGGGGGTTGGACTGGATGATCTTTAAAGGATCCTTCCAACCTAAACCTTTCTATGATTATATTAAGTAAAAAAAAGAGTATTTAATAAAACTTGCCCCAATACTTGTATCGAATTAATAGCAAACGCTTAGAATCGATGATAATGCTTGATGTGTAGCACATTGTAAACCTACACAAACTCACCCTGTGCTCGTGTCTTCAGCTGCCACAGCGACTCGTGCGTTGCTGGACGCTGCTTTTCTGAGAAACTTTACCATAAGATGGGAAACCTTGAAATGTGTTGTAATCAGAAAACAAAACCCACATTCAAAATGGAGTTTAGAATGGAAAGGGACTTCAGTCTTACCTAAAAGACACGAGAACAAACTGACTTTTTGGGTAGAGGAGGAAAGTTTGTGTCTTATAGGACTTTATTTTATGGTATTCTTAGGGGTAGCTTACATGATTATTGCCTTACAGCTTTCTCTCAGATGTGATTCAGACTCTAGCAGGGAGCATTGTTACCTGTGAAGTTTGTGTTCCTGGTCAAATCGTGTGCAGTTGCACGACAAGAACTTTCTAGGGAATTTCCCCCCTTCCCTTGGAGTATAAACATGAAGGTGCAGGTTTCTGTGGGAACTCCTTTGGACTAGGAGCCTTCAACAGATGAGACAGCAGCCCAGCGGTCAAGATGCTCGCTGCTAGTATGGGATGCTGAGATTTGAGTCTCTGCTCAGCCTGATTCTAGACTGGAGAACCTGAGTTCCCCGTTCTTGTCTTCCAGAAGACTGAAAAAATTATCAAGTCATGAGCTGTGAAGAGATGGAAGCCTCCATGTTTTGACTTAAAATTGTCCACAGACTAGAGCTTTTCTGACCTATTTCACTCCGATGTGGAGTTTTGTAGGAAGCAGAACTTCTGGATTGCTCCACTTCTCCCCGTGGTTAAGTTTCAGGTTATTTATGCAAAAGTACAGACTGTTTTCTTTCAATTACACTGTATCCCAATACTAGGAATTCTGAATTTCTTGGTGTTCGGGCTAAGCTGCCCCAGAATGAAAACTTGCATGTTCCTGTGCAGTATTCTCTTAGTTTGAGCTCATGATCTTCCACTCTACCGACCCAAGCACACTTGGAGTGTTCTGCACTTTGTCTCCACTTTTTTTGGCTACAGGAGAGAATAAAGCTCTTCTGTAAAGCTTTCTCTGTCATTTACTAGGAGGGATGACACTTTTAAGCCCAGTTTGGAGCTCTGCTTCTAGGCTTGAAATAGCTGTCTGACAAAATCTAATTTAGATTTTCCCTGTGACATTATTAGGTCACTAAATCCTAACTCTGAGATAAAACTTCTGAGGAGGTATGTCCCCAGTCTCCATAAATTGAATTATGGTGGCAGATACTTCAGAGAAGTAGGTTTATCATCTTAAAATAAGCCAAGAGGAAAACGATTATCTTTCAATCAGATGTTTTAGTGTGTTTTTCTTACATATGGAAGGGACTTTTGTAAAAATTCTCTACAGATCTGTTGCTATTAAAGCAAAACGCTTTGTACGCCTGTTTTTCCTTCAGCGTAGCACACAGGAATTACCAGTAAAATGAGAATTACCGAAAATGAACGCCCTACACCAGCCAATGTCTTCAGAAGCTTAGAGATGGATCAGGGCTTTTCCCCAAGAGTTTTGTATTGGTATGGCAGCATATGTTGGAGTCCATGATCTGAATAAGCTCCTTCTTTAATGCCCCTGTACATTAAATTGCACTGGAGTTTCTGTTCTCGCGGGTCTGAGATCCTAGGCAAGGAGGTTGTGCTTACACTTCCATCTTGTGCATTTTTGCAGAACAGCTGGGCGCTGCAATTAAGCGGGATTTCTTGGACATTTAAACAATCCATATGCAAAATATCTGGTAGTAGTATACATTATTTGGATGCCTTCATGGTATTCTCCATCTATCTGCTTGTTGTTATCCTCTTATCTCAAAGAGGCCTGCTATCATTAGTAGGAACATTTTAAATAAGTGTTCTGTAAAGGAATAAATGAATGAACCAAGGGTTAGCACCAAGAGATGTGTACTAAGCACAAGAAGATACTAACTGCTGTTAAAACGCACGCTTCTCTCATGAGGTGCATGCATCCAGCATGTGGCGAGACATGTTTTTTAATTTTTAATTTTTTTTCCCTTCCTCATTTTGGTTTCACTTGTATACCAGTTAGGCTGTTACCTAGTTTTCTGCTGTAGACGCTGAAGTTAGATGGTAGATAACTGGTCAGCTGCTACTCAAAAAGCGATCCATAACAGTCAGGGGCGCCTGGCTCTGTTTTGGCAGAACTCTTCAGATATCTCTGTAGTAGCTATTTGAATGCCAATCGGAGGTTGGTTACAGGTTTGTAATAATAAGAGGTTACAGGCTTGAAGAGCTCAATCTAGTCAGCCAAAAAACCAAAATAAGCAATAGCAGGAAGCATGTAGATGTGTACGGAAGCTAAGGTTTTTTCATGCCTGGTGGTAGGGCACTCTGAAGGTGCTTGTGGTCAAGGTCAGATTTTTATGGGTGTCTGGCAAACTCGTTTTGGGTTCCAAATGTGAAGGCGTAAGAGGCAGTGGGTACTGTCCAGACCCACATATCTCACGGCAGTGAGAGAACCCTCCAAGTATCAACAGAGGGGTTTTTTTATATATATATAT